GAGCCGGCGTTCTTTTTGCTGCTCACCCTCGGACATGGCGGTGTTCTTGGCTCTTCTTCCGGGGTGGTCTCGCACGCGAGCTCATATCCAACCTTGACCTGCTCATCGCACGGGCTGAACGTGTCCTCGTTGTCGGGGGCCTCGGGCGCACGCGTGGTCAATGGCTTCCTGCTTGGGCGCGCCCTCGCCCGCCCCCGCGGCGTCGCCACGACCCGTCCTAGATCACTCGGCCACCTCCTCAAAGTCGCTGAGCCCCATTGATTCGTAGAAGAGAACCTGTCCCACCCGCGACCAAAGGCTCGCATAGAAGACAAGCATGGTGAAAGAGGATGATGGTGGAGTGACAGAAAGCATCCCCCTGAGTCCATTCCTATTCGTCTTCCTGGACCTTCTGGTAAAAGCTGCCGGCGTCGGGCGCGCATCCAAATCTGCGCGGGGGGGGGCTCCAGTCTGGTCGCCGAAGGTTGTGCCAGTCGGTCGCGTTCCCGCGAATCGACTGCGGGGCCAGCGCCTGGTCGTTCCACTAAGGTAAGCCTCCCCAACCCTGCCGGTAGTCTGGCGCGGCTTGCCGCTAGGCTCGGGCCTTGGTCGCGCATCGTGGGCGCGCGTGCAGACGTTGGATGCCGCCTTGATGATGATGAAGGTAGCGAGCGTGACCCGTTGTCTCTTCTTCCCCGGCGGGGTGCGGCTGCCCGCAGATTCAATCGATCGGCTTAGTTTTTTCGGGCACGTCGTAGGTCGCGATCTCGCCCCCGAGGTCCACGCGAGGACTGGCACGGGCATTGCCCCTGTCAGGGCAGTCTTCGTCGTGGCCGCACCCTGGTGGGCACCTGCGCATGCCAGCCTGTGGACCTTCTCGCCCTCGTACTCCTGCTCGGATTATGCAAGGGCTCCCCACTTCGCGCTTCGCGCTGCGCGAAGCGCCAATAACTTCGCACTCTCGCGCCGCCTCCCAGGGGAGAAGAGGAGGATGAGGAATCGGAGTCGAAGCGCGAAGCGCGAATAACTTCGCACCCTCGAGGGCGCCCTTGTGGTCGCACCCTGGTAGGCACCTGCGTCGGCCAGCCGGTGGACCTTTCCGCTCTCGCACTCCAGCTCGGATTCTGCCTCCGGCGGCCTCCACTGGGTCTCCTCGCGTGGAGTGTCCGCGTCGGGCTCGGCCAGCTTTCTGCGCTGGACGCCATGTCTTGGTGTTCGCGCGAACTCCTCTGCCTCCGCGCGAGGGCCGACGCGCTCTGTTTTCTCTGCGCTAGTCGTGCACAGGGTCCCCTAACCTACTGGTATGAACCGTCCACGCAAAAGAGATGGGAAGAATCTCGTCGGAAGTTCGACTCCCGGAAGCCATGTTGAGGAGGCGCTGATTCCGAGATTGGCTGAATGGGCCGCTATATGAATAGGGAATACCCAACCAAAACATACCAAGACATGACCACCTAATGTGCTGTTGGTTGGCAATTGGAACGGGGGTAGGTCAGTATCTTTCGGGTCTTGGATCGTCGTAGGCTGGTTCTGTTTGCGTCGTGCGCCAATTTCATGGCGTTTTCCGTATCGGGGTCGTCGCGGGGACCGCGTCGTGATTCAGGTGATGTCGGGTCCCATGTGGTTCTGGCCGCGACGTCGTCGTCATCCCCATCGGTGTTTCACGTGGGTGGATTCATGTTCGGACTGAAGGAGTCGATCAACAAATATTGGTATGCAGATATGCTCCCCTTCAGGGCTTCGGACTTCCTCTCTGCTGGAGCGTAGGTTCCCCGTCGCACGCCCCCCCATGACGACACGCCCGAGCAAACAGGGCGGCAAAAACTTCCGTTTCTGGGCGTTGCCCAGACATGGCAGAAGTTTCGCAAAGAATCTGCAAAGTCTACCTGTCTGAGGGGCAACGCCAGGGGGGTCCCAGCCCCAGGGGGGGAACACCGCCCTGGAATCGGCGATACGTCGCCGAGTGATCAGCGGTATACCCCCCGATAGCAAATCCGCGCGTCCATGGACGGGGCGGGCTTTTGGGCGTCGATGCGTCCCCCCCCCGGGCGTACTCCCTCTGACGCTGCCCCCTTGCTTTCGGGCAATAACTCGGCTCTCCAGTGGCCGTTCGGGGCGATCCGGGCACCCCCAGAACGCTCTCGGTCGCAGCCGCTGGAGGGCACCCCGAGGCTGAAAAGCCCGCCGAGGACCGACAACACTTCCGAAAACCTCGACCCCTTGGTGGCACGCACAGGGGTGTAGTGGGAGGGGGGGAAGGCTTCGCAGAAGGAGACTGCTTCTGAGCAGGCGCCGGCCCTACATTTGTAGAGAAGGCTCGCGCCTTCTAGCAGGCAGGGGTGCTTCTCAGAAGCCTTTCACCCTCGCCCTACCCTTAGGTCGGGCATGCCCTCCTACAGGCGGATTTTGCGAGAAACATAAAACACGTCAAAAAGTACTAAAAACATACCCCAAACGGTATCAGGCAATCCTCCCCATACTATGTTCGGTCATTTTTGAATATTCCTCCTGTACAGGGACATGTCCGCGATGTTTGCGACGTTGTATGGTTTATTGGAGGGAGGCCGCGGTTGTTTGGGTTACTCGATTTTGCAACGTTGTATGGTCACACACCCGCGTGCCCGAGGCGTGGCGGAAGGCCAAAGTTACGATGATTTACAAGAAAGGAGACCCGTCAGCATGCGACAACGCCCATCAGCCTCCTACCAATAGGATACAAAGTGTTCGCTCTGATATTGTTGGAAAGGTTGAAGCAAGCTGGTGCTGAAGATCGCATCTGGCGCATCCAATTTGGCTTCAGATCTGGCCGTGGGACAGGCGACGCAACATTTTTGGCCAGTCGAATCCTCGAGGACGCCTGGGCGACGAAGCAAGGCTCGTCATTGCTACTTGCTTTGGATTGGGCAAAAGCCTTCGACTCAGTGTCACCTGGCGCCCTGGCAATCTCATTGCGGAGGGTTGGTTGCCCCTCGAAAGTTGTCGCCATTGTTGAATCGAGTTATCACGATCGGTCGTTCGTCGTCTCCGATTCAGGCACCTTGTCGGCGGAGAGGAACCAGTAGTTTGGTATATGCCAGGGTTGTCCGCTATCACCGCTTCTTTTCACAATAGTAATGACAACGTTGTTAACAGACGCCTACACCATGTTCCGGGTGCGCATGCCGAGTGCTCCACAGCCGCATTTTGCCAGGGAGTTGGTGTACGCTGACGATACTCTTCTGCTGGACGCCAACCCAGACATCATCCAAGCACTGATGTCATGCATAGAAGAGTGTGGCGACATTATGGACTGAGCTTGAATTGGCGCAAGGTTGAAGTGATGCGCGTTCGCACTGGAGCTCATCTAGTCAATGGCGCAGGTGAGGCGGTGAATGAAACCAGCACCTTAGTACATTTAGGCGCGCTGCTGTCCGCAGATGGCCGGAGCGGCGCGGAGCTTAATCGCAGACTTGGTGCGGCCAGGCTAGACTTCAACGTCTTGAGCGCAAATTGGTCGCATGCTGCATTGACCCGCCGCCATAAGGTGCGTATGTCTAACGCCTGCGTAGTTGCTAAATTAACATATGCTTTGTTTCCTTTCTGTTTGAATCAGGCGGAACGCCGGAGAATCGACGGATTTCAAGCCCAGTGTCTGCGGAGGACTTTCCGCGTACCACATTCATACTATAGTAGAACCTCGAATCGCATTGTCTTCAGCATGGCGGAGCAGCGGCCTTTGAGCGAGCAAATTTGTAAACAGCAGATGCTTTTCATACGCAAGCTTGCGGGACGCCCCAGCACAGACCCGGTGCGCATGTCCGTGTTTGAACCTGGCAATTTTGACATACGATCGCCATCAGGACCTCGGAAAAGAGGTCGGCCCCGACAAAACTGGGGCAACATGGTGATGAACATTTGTCTACGGGTGGCCAGCTCCGCCGCTCGCCTTGCTGATTACTTCCGCCCGGAGGGCGGTGCAGCTCGAGCTTGGGCGTCGGCCGTGCGATTGTGGCACACGTAGTGCATTTTTCCCATCTCTGCTAGCGCACCGTCTGGTGCAAGGCTTCTGACTGACTGATTACAGGGACATGTCCGACTTAACCCCACCCTCCTCCGCGCGTGGCCGAGTCCCGCAACAGTCCTCGTTGGACGCCCGAACTGGGTACGAAAACAATTGGGACAATGCCCAACAACAAATATTGTCTCCAACCAGGGCTGGACCTAAACGTTGTGTTTCGTTTTGTTCTCGCGTTGTTGTTCGTTATGCTCCGCCTGTTTTCCTGCACCTCCCTCCCACAACGAAGAACAAAACACAGCCGAAGCCCAGCGAAACAGCGTTTAGGTTCTGCCCCGTCCCAAACCAGAAGCGGCTGCCGTTGGGCAGGCGGCCCTAGCTGTCTCATAGGGAGCCCACAAAGGACATACGCGCCCAACTATGTACATGAACACGGCCCGTTGACCCGCGAGACCTGCCGCGCGATACGAACATTCGCGCAATGCGAACTCTCGAAACCAGCGTGGATTCATGTACATAGACGTCCTTCTTTCGCTCCTGATCTCAAGTGGACACAGGCCGCGGCGACACCGACAGCGAGTCCTGCTCCACGACGAGCAGGAGCTGCTGTCGGTCTCTGCGCCGGTTCTCTCCGTACCCTGACCCTGCGGCCGCGCCGCGCCGCGCCGCCGGCGCGGGCCGCCAGGGCCGCCCCGCTCGAGCGGCCAGCGGCCCAGCTCACGAAGCGCTGGGGCGCCGCTCGGGGAGGCCTCCTGGCCTCCTCCCCCTCCTGGTCCTCTCCTCCTCCCTCCTCCTCCTCCTCCTCCGCCTCCTCCTCCTCTCCTCCTCTCTCCTCCTCCTCCTCCTCCTCCTCCTCCCCCCTCCTTCCTCCTCCGCCCCCTCCTCCTCCTCCCCCTCCGCCGCCTCCTCCTCCTCCTCCTCCTCCTCCTCCTCCCGATCCTCGCCTGACGTTGCCCCTGAGGCTCGCTGGAAGCCAGGGGTCCGCTCCTCCCCGGCGCCGACACGAGCCCCCTCTGGGAGAGGGCACCCGCACTCCTTGCACCGGACCGCGTCCTTCAGCTTGAGCTCCACGTCCACCCCGCAGTTCCCGCAGATGTACCTGTCTTCACGGGCGACGACGAACGGTGTGGCATAGACTTGTTCGCTGTCGGGGGCGCCTGTCCCAGGATGGCTGGGAAGCTTGTGCCCTTCAAGTGGCACCGTAGAGGGGATAAACTTTCCATCCGCCCAGGGGCAGGCGTCCTCGACGGCGGAAACAGTTGTTGTATGCCTTTCTTCGCCCGCTGACTGTCCGCACCGCGAACAGCAAGCCCAGACAAGCTCGCGTCGTATCTTATATTTGTGTATGCAAATATATCGGAGGTTGGGGGGTGAGATCGCAAAGAAACGGAGATCCCCCACCGGGAAATCGGTTTCGGTTTCGTGTTCGTGTCGTGCGTGCGGTCGAGGCGGGGCTGCGCGTGATCCTCCTGTAGCTAGGCCAAGTAGGAGCGAAAATCCGTTCCCGTCCGCCAGCTGGGCCGGGCGGTGTCCCGGGTGTGCCGGGTGTCAGTAGGAGCGAAAGTCCGTTTCCCGTCCGCCGGTGGCCGGGAGGTGTCCAAGTTGGGCTGGGCGGTGTCCAGGGTGTCCCGGGTGTCCCGGGCGTCCCGGCGCTAACGCATGTCGCTAATTTCATAATTCATGTTTTCGGCGCCTGCGGCGGGCTTTCTTATCCAATCCAGCTTATCTTATCCAATCCATCTTGTCCAATCCAATCCATGTTATCTTATCCAACCCATCTTGTCCCATCTCATCTATCCCACCCAATCCAATCCACCCAACCCCGTCCATCAATTCAACTGTTTATGCGCCTGCGGCGGGCCAACTCAATCCATCTGATCTTATCCAACACACTTCTTCCAATCCAAGCCATCTTATCTTATGAAATCCATCTTATCCCATCCATACCAATCCACCCAAACCAATCAATCAATTCATTGTTGTCGGCGCCTGCGGCGGGCTTTCTTGTCAAATCCAGCTTATCATGTCCAATACATGTTGTCTTATCAAATCTATCTTATCTTAAACTATACAGACCGTCTTGTTCCATGTTACCTAATCCCGCCCAATCCAATCCACTCAACCCAATCCATCAATTAATTTGTTTCTGCGCCTGCGGCGGCCCACTCAAATCCATCTGATCTTATCCAAACCATCGATTCCAATCCGACCCATCTTATCTTATTCAATCCGTCTTATCCCATGCAATCCAATCAACCCAACTCAATCCATCAATTCAGTTGTGTCGGCGCCTGCGGCGGGCTTTCTTGTCCAATCCAGCTTATCGTATCCAAAACATGTTGTCCAATACAATGCATGTTATCTTATCCGACCCATATTGTCCCATCTTATCGTATCAAGGTGAGAGGTGGTCAGGGTGAGATGAGTTCATGGTGACAGGCTGGAGGTCAGTCAGGGTGGGCACTTGATCTCAATCCCCCCCAACCTCCTTATCGCCCGCAGGGCGGCCGTATAGGTACATATATATATACATATATATATATATGTATATATATGTATGTATAAACACAAATATTACATATATATATATATATGTATATATATATATATATATGTTCGACTTGATTTACATGTCTATGTATAGGTAAAACAAAAGTTAACAAAACGAAGGGCGAAGCTCGGTGCGTCGGCCTCCAGGGGCCCTCGCCGGGCCCTGAGGCCGTCAGGAAACGACCTGGGATGAAAAACTTCGGGCCTTCGAGGGCCCGGGTACTGAGAAAGTCGGGTGGGGATGAAAAGCTGGTTGGGTCGGGACTTCGAGGGACCCCGTGCTGAAAGAAGTCGGGTGGGGATGAACAACTGGTTGGGTCGGGGCTTCGAGGGACCCCGTACTGAAAAGAGTCGGGTGGGGGTGAACAGCTCGTTGGGTCGGGGCTCCGAGGGACCCCGTGGTGAGAAAGTCGGGTGGGGGTGAACAGCTCGTTGGGTCGGGGCTTCGTGGGACCCCGTGCTGAAAGAAGTCGGGTGGGGATGAACAGCTGGTTGGGTCGGGGCTTCGAGGGACCCCGTACTGAAAAGAGTCGAAACATCACACATCTGGGAGCAGTTCTAGCGGACCAGCGAGAATGAAGAGTGGCGATGGATGTGACCCACTGCGGCGCTTCGAGGATGGGACCCCAGGACACGGGACCACAGCAAGGGGAGGCCCTGCGTACTGCAGAACTAAACCTGGAAGCCCTCTTCTCCCATCCTTGGGAACCCATCCCTCAGCAGCCCATCTTCGGACCCCCGATGCCCGGCCCGCAAGACAGCGTCCCTCGTGGCTGGCTTGCTCAGCGGGAGGCTCCCGAACTCAGCCGGGCCCTGTTGAGGGCCCCTGGGGGCCCTCTGAAAGTTGGTCTCGTCAGCTGGGCGGCGCCCCCTCGGGATGGCTCCCAATCTGTTCTCGCGCAAACCCAGACTTCAGTCGGGCGTGTCCCCCTACAGGGGGATCTTCGACGAAAAATCTGTTTTAATTACCCTGTGACGTACCAAACCCATTTGTATCATGGGAAACGAGGAGTTGGCCGAAACTTGCACGGACAATCAAATTGCAGGATCCGTTGTTTGATATATAAGCTACTTGGGACACGCGCCAATGGAATGATGCGCAACAGAACCATACAAGAACGAGGGGCGACAACTACAGGCTCGAAGAGGACATGGGGAGTCGGGAACGAAGAGCAGGAGAAAGACGCGCGGGAAGCCCAGTGCTGGGCCCCCCAGCAGGCCTCGAAAGTGGCGACAGTTTCACAGATCGCAGCACCCCAGGGATGGCGAGGTCCCAATTGAATCCGCCGTGGGTGCCCACTGTGCTGGGCCCCCCAGCAGCCCTCGAAAGGGGCGACAGTTTCACAGATCGCAGCCCCCCAGGGATGGCGAGGTCCCATTTGAATCCGCCGCGAGTGCACACTGTGTTGGGCCCCCCAGCAGCCCTCGAAAGTGGCGACAGTTTCACAGATCGCAGCCCCCCAGGGATGGCGAGGTCCCATTTGAATCCGCCGCGAGTGCACACTGTGCTGGGCCCCCCAGCAGCCCTCGAAAGTGGCGACAGTTTCACAGATCGCAGCCCCCCAGGGATGGCGAGGTCCCATTTGAATCCGCCGCGAGTGCACACTGTGCTGGGCCCCCCAGCAGCCCTCGAAAGTGGCGACAGTTTCACAGATCGCAGCCCCCCCAGGGATGGCGAGGTCCCATTTGAACCGCCGCGAGTGCACACTGTGCTGGGCCCCCCAGCAGCCCTCGAAAGTGGCGACAGTTTCACAGATCGCAGCCCCCCAGGGATGGCGAGGTCCCATTTGAATCCGCCGCGAGTGCCACTGTGCTGGGCCCCCCAGCAGCCCTCGAAAGTGGCGACAGTTTCACAGATCGCAGCCCCCCAGGGATGGCGAGGTCCCATTTGAATCCGCCGCGAGTGCACACTGTGCTGGGCCCCCCAGCAGCCCTCGAAAGTGGCGACAGTTTCACAGATCGCAGCCCCCAAGGCGCGAGTGCACACTGTGCTGGGCCCCCCAGCAGCCCTCGAAAGTGGCGACAGTTTCACAGATCGCAGCCCCCCAGGGATGGCGAGGTCCCATTTGAATCGCCGCGAGGCACACTGTGCTGGGCCCCCCAGCAGCCCTCGAAAGTGGCCAGTTTCACAGATCGCAGCCCCCCAGGGATGGCGAGGTCCCATTTGAATTCGCGCGAGTGCATACTGTGCTGGGCCCCCCAGCAGCCCTCGAAACTGGCGACAGTTTCACAGATCGCAGCCCCCCAGGGATGGCGAGGTCCCATTTGAATTCGCCGCGAGTGCACACTGTGCTGGGCCCCCCAGCAGCCCTCGAAAGTGGCGACAGTTTCACACATCGCAGCCTCCCAGGGATGGCGAGGTCCCATTTGAATCCGCCGCGAGTGCACACTGTGCTGGGCCCCCCAGCAGCCCTCGAAAGTGGCGACAGTTTCACAGATCGCAGCCCCCCAGCTGGCACGCAGCGACGAGCGAGGCGAAAGGCAAGGGGGAAGAGAGGGGCGGGAGGGGGCGGGAAGGAAGGAAGGAAGTGAGGAAGGCGACGCGCGAGCAGTGCTCTATTCAAAACGAGAACCCAACGCAGGAGGGGTGGGAAAAATAAGCCCAAAAATTGTCAAAAAATGCTAAAAGATAGTCAAAAAATGGTCCCTGCCTATTTTTCTACTATTCTTGAATACTCCTCCTGCAGAGGGACAGGCCCGACTCAAACCCAGTCCCCTCCGCGTCTTGAACAGAGACACGCAGCTGGAGAACTGGGCACTTGCGGAGAGCCTCCGCCGGGCCACGGGCCCGTCAAGAACCACTCGGGATGAAAAGCGGGCACCCCTGGGGGAAGGGGGCCCAGACCTTGGAGGCTGCACGGCGTGAACAAAGTCATGGCATCCTGGGCATCCCAAGACCAGGAGACACCCAGGCTCGAATCGACGGGTCGGATCGGCGATCGGCATGAATCGGATCGGCGGGAATCGGCAGCCAAGTCGAGAGAAGTCGAGCCGGCGAGCATCGGCAGGCTGGTATGCCTCGAGTGAGATATCGGAACCCAAATCGGAATATCCAAAGTCGAATCGAATCGGAGTCGGAAGCCATCGAATTCCAATCGAATCGAGTCGAAGGAATCGAAACGAGCCCTGCCAGCCGCGGGCCGCGGGGCGGGGCCGCGGGTCACGTTACCGCCACTGCCACGGGGCCGGCGGCCGCGTCCCCCGCCTGGAGCGGAGCGGCGCGAGATCGGGCCGGGTGGAGCGACGAAGGGAAAAGGCTACCCCAGCAAAGCACCCTAGTTATTGGCAACAAAGGTGAAGGGCTCTGTGGCAACTCATGGGATCCTACCGTTCAATTCTGCTGGCCCTCGCGCGTCGACGCTAACCGACATTCACCGCACCGCCCGCCCGCCGCCAGCCCCCCATCGCCCGTTCGACGTGCTGCATATCTCTAAACAACAAACTCAACAACGTCCGTCTCCAACACAACACTCACTACCGGGTTCGGCCGGCTTGCACGCACCATGCTGGCTCTCAGCAGCATTCCTGGTTCTGGGCTCGGGGCTCCGGATTGGATTCCCGGATTCGGGGTTCTGGGTTCCGGGTTCGGACAACTTGCCGGCAGCATGCAGGCTCTCAGCAGCATTCCAGGTTCCGGGTTCGGGGTTCGGTAGTCCCTCAAAATCCAAATATCCGGGTTCCGTGTTCCGGGTTCGGCTGGCTTGCAGGCAGCATGCCAGCGCAGCATTCCGGGTTCCGGCTTCCAAGTTCTGGATTGGACCTCCTATATCCGACTCCCAGGTCTCGTGTTCGGACACCTTGCAGGCAGCGTGCCGGCTTCCAGCAGCAGTCCGGGTTCCGGGCTCCAGCGTCCGGCAACATGACGGCTCTCATCAGCATTCCAAATTCAGATTTCCGGATTCTGGGTAAGACCTACAAATCCTGATATCGGGGCTCGGGGTTCTGGGTTCCGGGTTCGGCCGGCTTGCAGGCAACATGCCAGCTCTCAGCAGAATCCCTGGTTTGGGGATGCGGGTTCCGGATGAGGTCTCCCAGTCCAGATATCCGGGGTCCGGGTTCCAGATTGGACCTCTCCAGCGGGACTCTCCGGATCTCTCTAATGAAGGCTTCCCACTCTATGATCGATGTCCTTCAAGATGGCAGCCGAGGCTCCAAAGAGGGCCTCAAGAAGGCCCAAAGAGAGTCCAAAAAGCTGCCAACAGTTCCCCTGCCCTAAGAGGGATCGAAGAGGAGACGTCTCGAGACCACGAGGGGCAACCCTGATCCGCGAGGCCCCTTCTTCTTCTTTCTCTTCCCACCCCACCGCCTCCACACCATCCTCCTCATCCTCTTCCTCCTTCCCCTCCTCCAACATATGGTTTACCAAGAGTCAGACGAGAACGTGCCCCATAAAACCAATAGTACGTGTACTCGCCCTCCTCCTCCTCCTCCTCCTCCTCCTCCTCCTCCTCCTCCTCACTCAGCCTCCACCTCCACCTCCACCTCCTTCTCGTCCTCCTCCACCTCCTCATCCTCCATCATCATTTCTCCTCCTCCTCCTCCTCCTCCTCGTCCTCCTCCTTATCCTCCATCATCATTCCTCCTCCTCCTCCTCCGCCTCCTCTTCTTCCTCCTCCGCTTTCTCCTCCTCTTCCTCCCGCCTCATCCTGATCCTCCGCGTTTCCTCCTGGTTCTGCTCAAGCTGATTGAAGAATTCGATTTGACTGGCTTCCCCAGCTCTCTGTTCCACTGCATGCTTTTGGGTGACCCAAAAGCGAGTGCAGCTGAAAGGGGGTAATGCAATAGAATTGGGGCAATTGGATTGCAAATGTCTTGCGCCGGAGAATTGTATTGCATTGCATTGCAAATAATGCATTGCCCGCGAAAATCCAGCAATGCATCTGCGCCCCAGAATGTATTCCACGCCCCAAATGTATTGCAACCCCACGAGTCTATTGCACCAAATCTATTGCGCCACCCCCTTGTCGCTGGACCCCCCTTTGGGGTCAACCCGAATGCGCCCCCACTTCCCTGATGAAGGCTACTTTCCTGGGTCTAGTTTCAGGTCGGGCATGTTCTCTTATTTGGGGCGAAACAATGAAAATACTCCAAACATATTCCCAAAATAACCCCTACATAGTAAAAACAAAATAAAATCGTCCCCATACTATTTTTGACATTTTTGAATAGTCCTCCTGTAGAGGGGCACGCCCGACTTAAGTATAGCTGTTGGGTGCGGTGATGGGGGGCACGCAAAGTGACAGGAATTACGCCAAATGCGCGCCCACGAGGCTAAGCACCCACCCCACAGAGGCTGTCCAGAATCGCCACCAGTGCTCGGGGGTCGCTTCTGGCCCCCCCCCGTCGCTTCCTGCAAATTCTGCGCTGAACCCTCCGCCGCGAGTCCTCCAACATAGCGAAGAATGCAAGGAACAAAAAAAACGAGCGAGTTTCCCAGGATGGCCTGGAACAGCCCCCAGTCGTTCTCAGAGGGTTTCTGATTCACTCCTGAGGGAAGCGCTCGAATGTTCAACAACAACTGCAGAATATCAAAATGTGTTGTTGCTGATTTCGGCGGCGAGACGTGGGGGAAAGTGGGAAGGAGCGGGCCTTCTGAGAAGGCTCGGATATCCCTCGGCCTTCTGCGAAGTTTTCTAAGCCTCCCCCGAAGACACAAACATCCAGTCAGAAGGCTGGGGGCCTTCTGAGAAGCCCCGCGGCCTTCTGAGACGGCCTTCTCATTCTCACTTCCCCCCTCGCTCGCCGCCGATGATTGCAAGTCCTCCTCGCATGATGTTCGCAAATGTCTTCAAGACGGCACAAAAACATCCCAACACACCTGTGATATATCCCGCTCGGGTAGAGATGGAGCCTGCGGCAAAAGGCGGAGCACATACGGATAGATCGACAAAATAACATCCATATTGCTTTGTTCATGATGTTGCACGTTCGGGTCCTCAATACCGCTACTCCTCGGGCCTTTCCAGGGGCGCCTTCTAAAACAGATTTCGAAGCGAACCCAGCCATGGCGAGGAGGGAAGGGTAGCGGTATTGGTACCTGCTCCTCTTCCTGGGCGGGAGACACATCCATATCCACGGCCTCGTGGGCTGGGCCCATGGGCCGCGACACCACGGATGCGAGGCGTTGTTTCGCCAGTGCCCCGCGCGGAACGCATCCTTGATCGCGCCCCGGAATCTGCACCGCGAGGGCGTGGATAAAGATCTAGACATACGCAGTCATGATGTTTTCGATACGGGGCCCCCAATAATCCCGACCCTCTCCCGAGGGCCTGTTCTGCATCCCGTGTTGCTTTGTTGACGGTCCCGGTGCCCCGCGAAGGCCCCTGGAGGTCGAAGGCAGCAGAAGACCTCTGTGATGAACTTCTCGACGCGAACTGCACCTTTCAAGACGTACGGATCTACTCGCCGCTCGCGAACGACAACTCGGAGGGCGCCGCGGGGCGGGCTCTGTATTGGCGCCGCGCACAAGGGGCGTAGGGGGCGGGGGGGAAGGCTTCTTAGAAGGAGGCTGCCTCTTCGAAGGCGACGCCCCTAGATCTGCAGACAAGGCCCGCGCCTTCTATGAAGCAGGGCCGCTTCTCAGAAGCACTCCCCCCCCCCTTCCTCCACCCCCCCCTCTGCGCGTGGCTGACCTTTCGGGCGCTCGCGAACATGGAGCGGGGATCCGTGGATCTGTCGAGTGGGCGCCAAATCCACGAATCGAGAGAAAAAAAAAACAACAACAAAAAAAAAAAAAAAACGAAATGTGGCGTCAGTGCCGCCCGATGCGGCGACGGAGCGTGCCGGTTCTGTACGGGAGCGGCGCGCCTTGCCGCCAGTATAAACGTCTGATGCTTCGGCGTGTCGACATTGAGCGGAAGGGGGGGGGGGGTTCTGGCTCTGGACCTCAGTGGGCCCTGGAAACGACAGGGCCGTTTTTGTTACCGGTTCCGTTTTGCCGTGTCGTTGCCGGTTCCGACGCGTTATTGTTACCAGTTCCGTCGCTGTTTTTTGACCGGTTCCGCTTCGGTTTCCACTCCTGGAGCCGTTTGTTTGCCGTTTCAGGTCGCTGTTTTTTTGCCGTTTCCATTTTCAAGGGACATTTTTGGAAACGGTGAAAAAACGGCCCTGCCGTTTCCGCGGCCCACAAAGCTCTGGACCTCTGCTTGATGCTTGATGCGACTGTTTGCTACAGGGCGTCCCATGGGGAAAACGCCACCCGCTTGGAGCAGGCGCCAGAAACAGCCAGATTCTACTCCAGAGGGGGGAGGGGGGGGAGGGAGTTGCGAGGGCCCGCGCCGATCGGCACCCCTTGCCTTACAATAGAAGCTCGACCGCAAGAAACCTTCTGCGAGAAACCCAACCCTAAGACCCCAGAACGTCCACTCATTTTTGGTGCGGGAACGTCCCGCTCTCCATGGCAGCGCCATCGAAAACCCAGGGCACCCAGGAGGGCGAGCAGGGTGCTTCTTTAGGGGAAGAAAAAATTACATAAACATAAAAGCTCGGAGGTCCGCGCGGATTTCTCGGATCGGCGCTGGGGCCCCCCGGCGGCGCCTCTGGCGCCGCCCCTGGCGCGCCGAGCGCGCCAGGGAGGGGGGTCCAGCGCCGATCCGAGAAATCGGCGCGGACCTCTGAGTTTTTATGTTTATGTCACTTTTTGTTTCCCGATTCTTGGCATGGGTCTCCACCGTGATCGGTGTTGCGAGTCCCCCTGGACCTTCGCGAGCTCCTGCCCCTTGGCGGCGTCCTGCCCCGACATGGCGGCACTCCTCCCCCGGGCGGCCCCCGCCCCGGCACGGGTTGATGGGCCTACTTTCCACCACCACCACCACCACCATAAGTTGGAGGGGGAGGGGGTCCTCCTCCTCCTCCTCCTCCTCCTCCTCCTCCTCCTCCTCCTCCTCCTGACCTCCTCCTCCTCCTCCTCGACCTCGACCTCCTCCTCCTCCTCCTCCTCCTCCTCCTCCTCCTCCTCCTCCCCCCCCTCCAACTTCTGGTGGTGGTGGTGGAAAACAGGCCCATCAGGGGGGGGGGGGAGGGGAGCGTCGGGCCCTGCCGCCCAGGGGCGGCGGCGCGCGCGCACGGCCGGGACGCCCGAGGCGGGCCCAGAGAGGCAGCGGGCCGGAGGCGGAGACTGCTGCTCAGAGTCGGGCTGGGGCGAGGCCGGGAGGAGCACAGAGTGCAACAGGGCGGGGCCAGGGCGAGGCTGGGACGAGGCTGGGGCGAAGCTGGGACGGGGCCAGGACGAAGCTGGACATGCACAGGGCGAGGCTGGGGCGGAGCTGGACAGTGCAAGACGACGAAGCCAGCACGAATCGAGAGTATCGAAGGTCTGGCGGCGCTGCCAGTGTCTCGGGCGCCGCGGCCTTCTCAGAGCGTTCTTGAGCGCTCTGAGAGTTCTTTATGAAGGGGCAATGGGACACACAAATAAATAGACACAAATAACAGGATCCCCCATATTTTCCTATATATTTTTGTTGGGGGGTCTTCCCCCCCACTGCCCGTATTGTCATATATTTTCCTGGGAATATGTGTCTGTGTGTTTTTTCCCTCCTGACTTTAACGCTCTGAGAGCGATCCGGAACGCTCTGGAACGGATCTATCCTCGTCCTAATTGGCCCTGTCCGATGCAAGTCCATTGGACGCCCATGTCGAGGCTTCTGGAGCGAGGCTGGCCAACGAGAGTGATCAAGGCTGGACCGAAGAGGCAAGGACGCAAAGCGGCGCGCTGGGGAAGGTTACCCCACCCTCATCGTCGATTTGGACTGTGCAACTGCGCCTTTGAAAGAAGAAACGCTAACTCAAGAACGGCGCCCCTGCTTGGCTCCGGAAGTGTCGAAAGGGGCCCAGAGACACACAAATAAATACACACAGATCACAGGAGTTGTTATACTATTCCAGACGTTCTGGGTTTTCGTCCTCCCCCCACTGTCCAGAGTCTCCCATATTTCCCTGGGATCCGACGATGAACTGTGACAGTGCTGTGTTCCACTCCTGAAGTGTCTGAAGGGGCCCCAGGACACACAAATAAATACACACAAATAAAAGGATTCCCCATATTTTCCCATATTTTCTGGGTGTCTGTCTTCCCCCCCACTTCCCATATGAAATCCTGGGGGTCGACGATGAATTATGTCTGTGTGTTTCTTTCCCTCCTGAAGTGTCTGGGTGCAGGAGGGGGGCGAGGAGGAGCAGCCACGGCACGACCCACAAAGGAACAGCGGCCCCCTGGCCATCGCTCGGACGTCCATTCCCTGTGTTTGTTTTGGATTCGTGCGTGGTTGTTTCGCCAAATGATCAAGGATGCTCCTCGATGGTCCTCGCCGAAGGAAGAATGCCAGGACCCCCCGAACTCCCCCGAACTCCAAGCGGTCCTCTGATTTCGACGCCTCGGCTGTCGGGATCTCCGCGCGGACCTCCCAGATCGGCGCTGGCGAATCTACTCCCGGGCGCGCGGAGGCGCTGCCACGGGGGGGGGGGGCCAGCGCAGATTCAAGGAACCCGCCCCGAGCACCGAAACTGTGTCTGTGTGTGCACTATGTGCTTCTTGGAGGGGCGCGATGCCCGACAGCGAACGTTGACCAAAACCGAATAGCGGCCGTTGGGTTAGGTCGGGCATGTCCCCCCACAGGCAGATTTTTGAAGCGAAAGCAAAAGTACTTGAAAATAGTAAAAAGATACTCAGAACAGCAAAAAACAACGTCCCCATACTATTTTTCTGCTATAAAAATCTTCTCCCTGTAGAGGGACGTGCTCGACTTCACCGTAGGGCCGGCGGCCTTCTATCTCAAATGGACAACGCCCGCGGCGGCGTCGACGGCGAGTCTTGTTAAGAATCGACAGGAACTACTCTGCGTGATCGTCCCCAGTCTTTCCCTACGGAATTACCCATTTCGATCGCACCAAACACAGGACGGCGGGCCAAAGGCCTCTTTAGCTGGCGCGGCCCGTTGTGCTTTGTTTGCTTTGCCCTGCGACCATCACAGATCAGTCTGGCTCGACAAACGCAGCAGAAAAATTGTGTTAAGCGGGTGCGATGTGTCGCAAGGTCGCAGCTTTTCCGCGGCTCCGAATCTCAGGGGGGGCGAGCCTCTTCACGAGGCGGCGGGGTTTCTCAGAAGCCCTCGGGCATGTTTAAAGCGTCCTCCTAGAAGAAGAAAAACCTGCATCAAACTAAACTGTTGGTGTTCCGCGCTGAGTTCTTGGATCCGCGCCGGACTCCGCCGTCGGAGGCGCCGCCGGGGGAGCCCAGCGCGGATCCAGAAACTCCGCGCGGAGCGCCACCAGTTGCTGTGCATGCCGTGTTTTTCTTCTTCGACCTCCGCAGTTCCGACGGAGGTTCAGAAGAAGCGTCTCAGAAGGCCAGAAGACATCTGTCGCGCCGGGCGAAAGGGGGGGATAGCAAAGGGGGGGGTTGAGAATCAGCTCACGTAGCTGATCTTACTGGCGCCTCCTGGCGCCGGGAGGCGCCCATGTATCGAGGAATGGGCCCGGCGGCGGGGCCGAAACCAACTGCATGCAGCAGATTTCGTAACCCCCCCTTTCCCACCCCCCCCCTTTCGCCCGACCCGATTCTGAGCCCGCCATTATGCCCCTCTGCCTGCCCCCCTCTCTGGGCGCGCCGCCGGCCGCGTTGGCGAGGGCCGAGGCCTCCGAGAGGTGTTGGGAAAAGCACTGCGGAGGCTCTTGCCGCCTGCGGCCTCCGGGGGGGTCACAAGATGATTGGCCCCAAAAGAAGCCCAAAAATCCTTTGGGGACCTAAATGAAAAGGGGGAAAAACCAGAAAGTCCTTTGGGGACCTGAATGAAAAAGGGGGCCCAGAACATTCAGGACGGGGGGCCTTCTCTGCAAGGGTACAGAACCCAAACGCCTCAATCCACCAGCTCTCTGGGCGCTCGTGGCCCAGAGCGTTTCCTCTTCCACCTCCCTTTTTCCCGTTCGGGGAGGGGTGTATCACTGTTCCCTATTAATATACACCCCCCCTCCCAGGCGACCGGGAGCCAACCAAGGACAATGAGGCCCCCCCCCCCCACCATCCCTTGCGGCGGTGGCGGCGGCGGTGGCGGCGGCGGAGGCGGCGGCGGCAGCGGCGGCAGCGGCTGCGGCGGCGGCGATTCGGCAGCGGGGGCGACGGCGGCGGCGGCGGCGGCGGCGGCGGATTCGCCCCGAGTAGCTGCCCATCCAAAGACGACTGCTGAATATGCTGCGGCTCGGGCCAGGCTCGGGTGCCACGCACGAGTTGGGAGGGCGGGTGGGAGTGAGCGAGAAGGCTTGCAGGCGGGGAGGGAGTCTTGACCCCTCCCCCTACCCCCTCCCCTGGACCTGGACGGGGCGCCCCGCGAGCAGTCAGGGCGTAGAGCTGCGGCAGACCTGGACGGGGCGCCCCGCGAGCCCCGCGAGAGTCTCGTAGAGCTGCGGCAGCTCTAGGAGCTGCGTGCAGCTCTACGCGAATCCCACTAGAGCTGCGTCCAGCACGAGTCGAATCCTATTCCAGCTGCGTCCAGTTGTCACAGAATCCTACCATAACTGCGTGAAGCACGAAAACATACCTACTAGAGCTGAGTCCAGCTCGCATGCAATCCAATTAGAACTTCGTGCAGCCCAAAGATAATCCTACTAGAACTGCGTCCAGCTCTAATAGAAACCCTCCACAGCTGCGCGCAGCGATAATATAATCCGATGAGAGCTGCGTCCAGCTCTCACAATACCCTACTCGAACTGCGCCCAGCTCTAATAGGATCCTACTAAACCTGCGTGCACCTCTAGTATACACTTACAAGAGCTGCGCGCAGCACTAATATAATCCCACTGGAGCTGCGCGCAGCTGCATTATAATCCGATCACAGCTGCGTCCAGCTCTAACAGAAGCCAACCAGAGCTGCGCCCGACTCGAGTAAATACCTACTGGAGCTGCGTCCAGCTATCATCATATCCTACTAGAGCTGCGTCCAGCTCGAATAGGTTCATATTTGAGCTGCGTCCAACTCTAATAGAATCCGGTTAACGCTGCTTCCAGCTCGAATAAAATTCCACCAGAGCTGCGTCCAGCACTCATTGAATCCTAATAGAGCTGCGTCCCGCTGTAGTAGAAATCATGCCAGCGCTGCGTCCAGCTCTGGTAATCATACGAGAGCTTCGTGCAACTCTAATAGAATCCTATCAGAGCTGCGTCCAGCTCTCATAAGATCCTACCAGAGCTGCGTCCAGCTCTCATGCGATCCTATCAGAGCTGGGTGCAGTCCTAATAGAATCCTGCTAGAGCTGCGTCCAGCTCGAATTAAAACCTACTAGAGCTGCGTCCAGTGCGCTCCACTGCGCTCAAGCATGGTGCACTCGAGGGAACGCTCTGAGGGCGCTCACAGAACGCTCCCAAAGACAGGGAGCGCTCACACGGCGCTGCCAGCGAACTCCCAGGAAACGTGCCCAGAGCGCCGCCATGGCGCTTCCACGGCGTTCCTGGAGAGCGTTCCCAGTGCGTATCAGCGCTTCCAGGGCGGCCACAGGGAGCGCGCCCAGGGCGATCCAAATGCGCTCCCACGGCGCCCCATATGGCATATCGCAACCTGAAAAGCGGCCCCAATGCACCCCAAGGACCGCCTCCAATGTGACCCCAGCGCCCCCCCCAGCGCGACCCCAATGCACCCCAGGGACCGCTCCCATTACGCCCCCAGCGCCTCCCCCAGCGCGATCCACATGCGTTCCACGGACCGTACCGACGGCGCACACGGAGCGCCCCCACAACGCTTGGAGGGAGCGTGC